TAAAGGAATGCCAGATCTTTCATTGTTTATAATTATATTTATATTTTATTTCATTCTAGCCTATCAAATAAATAGAGAGGAAGGGTACCAATCTAGTAACAGTGTCGCAATTACTATCATGCTAAAGTTTCTTTTACTTCTGGCATGGCTGGAAATGAGAATGCTTAATCGCAGAAGCCACATACCACATCAAGTTCAAAGCGGTGGGAAGGGGGACGTAATGGTTATTAGCTGCTCTATAAGTACTATTTCATGTGTCTTTTCTACCTTTTGGTAACCAAAAGAAATGGGTCTAAATTACCATGATGTAGCTTTTATTAGCCATGGGATAGAATAAATACTCAAAGCAGGTATCTGTTGATGAGATGATACACAGTATGTGCATCCTCCTCTTTTTAACTTGGTATATTTTGCTCATCTGTCCACATCCAAAAGATATAGACCTGGACCTGCTTCATGACGTGCATTTAATTTCATTTTCCAAGGAATAGAACAGCCATAGCTACTATGGATCCATTTATGTACACTAAGTGCCCTTCCTTTTAACACAGTACATTTTGTTTGCTGGTTTACATTCTCTGGACTCTCTCCTACAAGTAATCCATGGGATAATTCAGACACTAAAAATTAGATACATATTTGTTATCTCCTGGCTGCTATAGTCAGGCCCTATGTTCATATCTGAAACTGCCCCACCATGTGGAATTGGCAAGAAGGATCTCTACACAGTTTGAACCCTTGATGGTAGATGAAATTAGGCTAACAGAAGTAAAAAGATTTTCAGAATCATCAAACAGAGGAGGAATAGTTCACAGGGGGAGAAACACAGTTCTAACAGTGCTAAAAAACCATTGTTTTAGATTCTGGCAAAAAATGTTGAATCTGTACTTCTCTGGTTTTAAAGCAGCTAATGGGATGGATTCACTTTATAGACCTACAGACTGTGGATGGTGGTGGTGCTGGGGATGTTAAACAACTAGTACATGTTAATTTACTGTAGCAATGATCTGGCAGGTTTTTGTCACCGAACCCAAACCTGGTCTGCATAGAGGGGAAAACACCAACTCAGTACAAGAAGGCACTAGTTTGTGAATAAGCTTAAACTTCCATTACTTGGGTGCATCTACATGTGCCCTTTACTGTGGAGTTGACTAATTAGCTCCATAGTAAGCAGGGGTGACATGTAGGGGTGCATGTGCACCCCATGGGCGTGACAGTGCACCCCCTGCAAAAAGGCAGTGTTTGCGGGTGGTCTGCGGGACTGCTGGTGGCATCTGCAGGTGGTCCGTTATTCCT